TGTGGCAGATGAAAAACAATCCAAGGAGCATTCCCCCCAAACGTGTCTGCTACCCTTCAAGCATGCACAGTTGTTTGAAGTTGCAGTGCCTTGGGACTCAACTGGAATTTGGCCTTCCCTGAAAGTGGCAAGCTGGTTAATAGCCGTTGAGTAACTTATAATTTAGGAGCTGCGGTGGCTCAAGTGGTTAAGACGCTGAACTGCAGGCTGTGGAAGGTCAGTAGTTCAGCAGTTCGAGACCCGGGTGCCGCAAGACGGAGTGAGCTCCCGTCTCTAGTTCCAGCTCCTGCCAACCTAGCAGTTCGAAATCAAGAAATTGCAAGTAGATAAATAGGGACCACTTCGGTGGGAAGGTAACAGTGTTCCGTGCACCTTGGGTGTTTAGTCATGCCGGCCACATGACCACGGAAACGTCTTCGGACAGCGCTGGCTCTTCGGCTTTGAAACGTAGATGAGCACCGCAACCCTAGAGTCGGACTCAACTGGCTTTCGAGCAAGGGAACCTTTACCTTTTTAACTTATAATTTGCATGCCAGGCTCACCTGCTCCTTCAACTCCAGCAGCTAAGTTTGCAGGGATTTCTGGAAAGGAGAGACTGTGACTCGTCTGGTGTTTGATAAACACTGGAGACATCACAAACGCGCTGGGCCACTTTCTTTCTCGAGGCAGGGAATGGGGAAATAGAGCAATTCGGAACTATGCATGAGCCTGTGCCTATGACCCTTCAGCAGTCGCCTTCCCACAGGCAGCATGACAGGGAGCGATTTGTTTTGCCCAAGCTCCCAAAAGATTAGGCTGGATGTTAAAGCCAAGGCCCACTGAGTGCATGGAGGAGTTTCTGCTTGTGGCCACTGGCATCGCTAGAGCGGAGATCATGTGCCTTGCCCAGCTATCGTTACTGAAAGACGACTAAATAATGGACCTGTACCCATATGCAAAAGTGGTTGCCCTGGTGGAGGAAAACTGCTTCCTGTGAAGTGTCCCTTGGCAGGTTTTTATGGGAGAAACATCAAGCACCTACAGTAGCAGGAGTGTTCCAGCACAGACTTCACTGAAATGAATAGGGGCTGCAATTTCTTGAGATGTTCTCCATTCTTCATCTTTTATCTGGGAAAACAGCAAGCACAAGCTTGTGAGAGCCCCCGGACTCTAGCAGGCCACATCCGGAGCCGACAGAAAAGTGAAAATATGGCCCTGGAGCAAGCCCAGATGAGCGGCACTTCAGGGGCCATGGAAATCAGGTGCACCGACAACGGGTTCCCCCTTTGCCTCCTCCCACACAATGGCAGCAGTGCAGGAGAAAACAGCTGGTGAGCTGGCACCGAGGACCAGCGAAGGGTCTGAGCGAAGTGGCCCCTGGAAGCACTGGCAGAGTTGCTAGGGCTTGAGCACCAGCAGCCCCCCTCGAGGGCAGTGGACCCCCAGGAAATTTCCCTGCAAGTTAAATGGCCAGTCTGCCCCTGGGCTGCATGATCCATATTTTTCTAAAAAGTAGGAGGACAAGGACAAAACTTTCGAAGAACTCAGAAGCTTCATGTGCCATTTTGGCGGGTCCTAATGAAAAGGTGCCACGTTCCCATTGGATTTGGGATTTCCCCACAGACCGACATGGCTCAGTCCTGCCTGCCTTTGTTGTCCTGAAACAGAAAATGCTGGCCAGATGCAAAATGATAAGCCCTGTTTCTGCTGCAGAAGCCATGCAGCTCCCTGCGAATCGGAGAGGACAGGCTCAGGCCCTGGCGCCTTCCATTAAAAACAGTCTTGGGATCTCACAAGGCCCTACAGTGAAAGAAGACAGACAGGATAATGAAACCTGCAAGCCCTGCTTTGGGACAGAGCTGGGGGGGGCAATATTTGCCCCCCACTATAACATCCCTCCAAAGTCATTACTTTTCCCTCACCCTCCTGTTTGCTCACTGCCTGTAGCCATTCAGCATTAACAATCCTGCATTAAATGGACTGATTCACTATAAGGTCCGTAGTAGGACAAATATACAGTAATTGCTTTCCACATTCAAAGTTTACATAGATTCCCCCCTTTAAAAAAATCTAAACATTCAGTTGTTTAGGTATAGTTATTCATATAGAAGCATGAAATGTTAAATATAAATAGTGTGGGGGGGTTGTTGTTTGGGAAAAAATCAGCATCAGATGCATTTTCAGAAACAAGTATATGTCTATTGCACTTATACCCTCATGTAACATCTTCACCAAGCAAGTTCTCAACGAGAGGTTCTCTTATTAGATTGGCAAGCCCGTCCTGAAGGCTGCAGAACCTTGGACAGATCAGCTTTGGTTAAAAGTCAGTTCACGATGTAGAAGGAGGAGATGCCCGAGGACAAATACATTCATTTGAACAGCGTCAGGGAGGAGGTATAAATATAAATCAAACTTGTAGTAAAGCAGCTGATTGTGCTCTCATTTGATGGTAATTGTTTTGATGATGACTGAGAATTGATATCCCTTTCCAACTTTTCAATTGTCATAATGTGTAAAGATGTGAATCCTGTGCAGGGGTGGGGGTGGGGGAGGTCCAGATTCTTGAATTTTCAGCAGTCGTGCATGTGGACAAAACTATCTTGGGGTGGGTCTCTAGTTTGCAGTACCTTGTTGAAATGACGGCGGCTGCTCCGAAATTCTCTGACCCAGGCTCTTTAAAATGTGTTGATCGTCAAGGTGGTGGGATGGGGGTGGCCAAACGGACTGTGCAGGAGAAGCTTCAGAGAGCATTATTGGGGTGAGCTTCACTTCCGGCCAAAATTGCCCCTGGCACTGGACGTCCATGACCAAAACTCCAGATATTTGGTCCTGTGAAGCAGTCAGGGACAGGGAGAGACTATTGATCTGAATTGCCAGTAATGCAGTTAAATTATAGTAGACTCTAGACTTAGGACCCTCCCCCCTTTGCCATTAATATCAGGCATTCTTGGAACTACAGTTCCCAGAATGCACAGGTGGGGAAGCGGAAGAACTAAGATGGAGGTTATCTGAATGGAGCTTGGCCTCCTCTTGCGACAGCCTGCATTTGTGGCCCACTGTGTCGAGAGACAGGGTGGCTGGTCCCTGGGCTTTCACCCCAAAGTCCAGTGCTGATGGCATCACTGTGAATTGGGGCCAGAGCACTGGGCAAGTGTTGAACGCACATTTTCAGAATGAGGATTATCATTGGCCTCTGTGCCATTTCTCCATTGAACCCCCCTGTTGCTTCAAGCCCTGGTAGGGGAGAAGACAGCCGCAACACTTGTCCCTGTCTTTCCCCCCTACCAGGGCTTAAAGCAACAGGGGAGGGAGTTTTGATTGAGAGAAATGGGACGGGAGGAGATGTCACCCCTCCCGTCCCCAGTGCTGCCACCCTTGTTCACATCACCCTCCCTCCCTCCCTGTCTGCTCAGGACCACATCAAGTTATTGTGGCTCCCGCTTGGGAAGGGGACACTCACTGAATTAGGAGCTGCCAAACATCTACCCCCTCTGTTTGCCTTCAGACGATATTTCAATGCAGAGGGTGAAATGAATATTATGACCTGGCTCCACGTGGTGCCAAGCGCCATCCAGCCCTCAGAATTCCGACGATATTCCCGTCACTGCCCTTAAAAGCACCACTTCAACCCTACGGACATCTGCGTGTTGCTGACTTGGGCTCATGAACACCCGAGGCAACTGGGACACGTGAAGAAACAGAGCTCTCGGATGCTTACAGTTTTGCCAAAACCCCATGCATGGGATGGTGCATATGATACGGAGCATTCAGGTTCTTTAAGGCCAGTATTAACTGCCCATCACAACTGTTTCAACAGCCAAAAGAGAACAGATGAAAACGTCCATTGTTCGTGTTCCTCCTTGACATTTTCTGAAATATGGAGTATTGCTTATCTTGGGTTATAAAGCTGGATATTTTGAATGCTTGCCTGCTTAACAATAGTTTTAAACATACCGCTCCAGTGACACAATTCTTGGGAACTGTAAAGTCTCTAGTATGTTACCTCCACAAACAGATTCTACTCTTAATAATGAATGTTCAAACGGTTATGTCTGTGATGTCGGATACATTCACAACCCCACCCCCAACCCATTCTTCTTACATTCATGAGTTTTTCAAATGTGTATAATTAAAAGCTTGACCAAGAAAGGCCTTACTAGTTCTTATTTTTCTTAGGCTTCAGTGAGACTTATAGATTCCCATGTAAATCACAAACTAATCCCATGTCTCTAAAGTAACAAAGCACCTCGGAAGATGGGACACTGGATTGTAAAGGGCCTCATTGAAATAGACACACAGGCTGTCTTTGTTCTTGGCTCGGGGGGGGGGGGGGGGGGGGAGATGAGGGGGAAGCCACCTTCTCCTCTTGCAAAATGGTCTTCCCATTGCATCTTCAAAAAGTGTCCACAGCCATCTGGATAGCTCCGGATTTTGCTCTGCTTTCCCATGATAAGGCCCACAGGTTGGCTTGTAGGTTTGGACCCTTCTACCAGTAAGCTGACAAAAAAGAAGAGTTTATGCCACAGTATATATATATATATAATTCTGGCAGCTGGTTTGCTTCCTTTCTTCAACAGCAGACAATTCGTGCAGTAGGGTTTCCATGCCAGGATCAAAGTATCCCTCTCCAAGCAAAGGCATATAATGTACATTTTGCCAAGAAATATATAAAATGTTCAGTCTGGGTGTGTCGCATCAGTTTTGTAAGAGTTGCAGGGGACACTCTGTGGTAGCTTTTCACCCAGAATTTTGCACAGCATCGAATGGACAATATGGAAGGCCTCTTCTCCTAAGCGTACTTGGGATGTCCTACAAAGGATGAAACAGCTCTGCCTTCTCATTCCTTCTCCTCCAAATCAATGGCTCCTCTCAACAGTTCCAGCCTAAATACTTTCCCGGTTCTCAGACAAGTGAATTCCAACAGCCACGGTTTGCAAGGACCATTTGGGCACTCACGTCCCGTCAATGGAACAGCCTGAAAAGAACTTGGCATCCAAGAGATTTAACCTTTCAAGAGGCAATTATGGTGATATTTTTATAGGCTTCCCATTTTTATCATACTGGTAAACAAGCATTTTGATACAATGTGAGTTGGCGGGGGATATCCAGGGACTGCTGGTTATGGAAAAGTTATGGTTCGTATAGAACTGAACAGGCTGCTTCTGACACTTGAAGAAGGCCTTGAGGGTTGCGGCGGCCATGGTGCGGAATCTCTTGCTAATGAAGCAGTACAGGAAGAAATTGATGGCCGTGTTCAGCAGCGCCAGCATGTTGGCCACATCGGAGACAATGTGGACCGACCACCGGTTGTCTTTCGGCGAGACGTAAAGGTGATACAAGATCATGATAATCCTCGGCGCCCAAAGGATGGCAAAGATGGAGGTGATGGTGAACAAAATGGCCGTCGTCTTCCCAGTGGAGTAGCCTCGCAGGCGGAAGTGACACTTCTGCCGTAGCTTGTACACGATGATGGAATTCAGGATGAAGAAAATGGAGCAGGGCACCAAATAGATGGTGAAACAGTGGACCCAGATGAAGATGTGGTGGACCAGTGTGCTTTTGTAGTCTTCTAGCCACACTTTGGGCCACCAGTAATAAGGGATGCTTGTCAGAAAGCAAATGATGTAAACACTTACGATGACTTTCCGGGTGCGGGCTGGGTAAGAAACCATGTGGTACTTCAGAGGATGGCAGACCGCAATGTACCGGTCGATGGTGAGAGGCACGGTAATCCAAATAGAGGTGTGAATGGAGGAAAACTCCAAGACGTCGACAATTCTGTCCAGGACCTCTGGCATTTGCTCTTTCAGGATGAAGTCTTCCAACAAAAAGTCCACAAAGACAATGAAGAAAAGCACCAGCAAGTCTGCGGCTGCTAGAGCTAAAAGGTAATTGTAGGAGGACTTCTGCCGGCGAGCCACCAACTGTGACAGAATGATGACTGTCAAGATGTTTGCTAGAGAGAAAGAAAGAGAGAGAGAGAGAGAGAGAGAGGAGGTCCGTGAGCTTCCCAATGGTCATGATCTGAATAGTCAAACAGTTTAAAATATATATCCCAATTGCATTTTAGCCTTTACAGTATAATCTCACAGCTCTGTCACAGACAGCGATGGACTCTCGTCTAGGGACAACCGCCACCACTGAAACTGCTCTGGATCTGCTTAACCCTTTGCTATCCAACCCCTTATTGTTTGGCAGTGTTTCCTCCAGAGGGGTCTTCCACACCATCTCTTAGTGGAGATCCTACTACTGGGGATGCTAGGGATTGAATTTGGGGTCTGGCTCAAGTGGTTAAGACGCTGAACTGCAGGCTGCGGAAGGTCAGTAGTTCAGCAGTTCGAGACCTGGGTGCCCCAAGACGGGGTGAGCTCCTGTCTCTAGTTCCAGCTCCTGCCAACCTAGCAGTTCAAAAGCAAGAAATTACAAGTAGATAAATAGGTACCACTTCGGTGGGAAGGTAACAGCGTTCCGTTCGCCTTGGTGTTTAGTCATGCCGGCCACATGACCACGGAAACGTCTTCGGACAGCGCTGGCTCTTCGGCTTGGAAACGGAGATGAGCACCGCAACCCTAGAGTCGGATTCGACTGGCTTTCGAGCAAGGGAACCTTTACCTTTACAAAGCAGTTGCTCTCGCATGAAGCTATGGAATCTCAACAACAATACAGTCACTGAGGACAAGAAACTGCCCTCTACGGAGCTAAAACATATGTCTGTCAAGGTCAGTGTAATCTACTGTGGCTGGCACCAGCTCTTCGGGGTGTGATGCAGTCAAACTGGAGGTGGCAGGGACTGAAACTTAGGTCTCCCGAAGGCAAAGCAGATACTCTGCCCCTGAGTCACAGCCCAGCTCCCATTCTCAAATCAGACCCTGCTTTTATTCCAGAGTTTCTGCAAAACTGTGCTGGCTCTCCTCACCCAGGCCTACCTTTCCCAAACTTTGCTGCCGCAGTCGGTTCTATTCGTTCATGAACAAAGCGACCGAGGTTTCCTGGCAGCCTCCCTTGCCAAGTATTGACATTTTTTGCATGCGTGCAGTAATTACTTCTCTTGCAGAACTAATGCACCCTGTTTAATGTTAAACGTCTGATCGTGCTGATTGCCTTTTCAAGGCCAATCTCTCCCCTTATAATAATCGGGACTTCAGGTGGTAAGATTCGATGCGCGCCAAAACCAGTGGGCCCGCTCATCTGCCATTCACCCCAGCCCCTTTCCATTGGCTGCCTTGCCTTGCAGCCTTGCATCAATCCTGCCCACAGACCTGCTGCCCAGGGTCTGGCCCTCAGTCTCCAGGGAGGCATTGGGCGGGGTGGACGCTCGGGCGAGCCAGGAGGACAGGCCAGCTGGTCTCAATGCAGCCTAGTCAATCCCTCCGGCCCCGGGCCGAGCCAGCCTGGGCTTCACCGCCTCCCCTTCTCTCTAAGAGCCGGCTTGCTCAGCCTCCACGTGACCACGGGGAAGCCGAGCAAGCGAAGGGAAGGAAAGGCGCTTTACACCGCCTCCCCTTCCCTCTGACAGCCGGCTTGCCTTCAGAAGGGCACCGTCCAGGGCCCTCCCCACCGCTGCCCGGTTCTTGCCCTCCTCTGTTGCTGCTTCTCCCGTGGGCCGGCCAAGTGCTCCCATTGTGCCGCCCATCACCAGCCTGTCTTTGCCCACCCTGGCTTCTGCAGCTACTGTGAGGGCCGGGGTGTGTGCGGCCTCTCCTTCCCCAGCGTGCTGCACGTCCCCGGCCCATCTCCCCCCTTCTCAAGCTGCTGGGAGGGCCAGGTGGTGTGCTCCCTCCCC